ATATTATTTTTGTTCCTCTTTCATTACTTTCTTCTCTTGTATTAAACAGATGTTTTCCAGTATATCTTACTTTTTTGTCATTTACGTTACCATATTTTTAGTTATTTCCTTAACAAATGCCAAGGGAATTATAATTTGCATCTTATTACAATCAAGTCTGGATTTAAAATTACTTAATTCCAACAGTATATAAAAATGTTTCTCTTATATAGCTCCATTCTCTTCCTCTTCCTTTATGCTGTTACTGTCATACAAATTACACCCTTAAAATGTCATGCCCATCAACGGAGATTTATAATTATTGCTTTGTATGGTTGTCTTTTAAATCAGACTGGAGAAAAAAAGTTACAAATGTAAAAAAAATATATTCATACTATACTTTATACTTAATTCTATAGTTGCCTTTAATGGCGCTCTTTATTATTTCATGTGCTTTCAAGTTACTATCTAGCTTCCTTTCCTTTCAGCCAGAAGAACTCACTGAAGTATTTCTTCTGGGGCAGATCTGATAGTAATACTAGCTCAGGATTTGTTTATCCACAAACGTCTTAATTTCACCATCACTCTGGAGAGCAGTTTTGCTGAATACAGAATTATTTATTTATTTTAATTTAAATTCAATTAATTAACATATAGTATTAGCTTCAGAAGTAGAGTTCAGTGATTCATCAGTCTTATATAATACCCAGTTCTCATTACATCACGTGCCTTCCTTAATGTCCATCACCCAGTTACCCAATCACCCCACCCACCTCCCCTCTAGCAACCTCAGTTTGTTTCCTATGATCTCTTCTGGTTTGTCTCCCTCTCTGATTTTGTCTTGTTTTATTTTTCCCTCCCTTCCCCTATGATCCTCTGTTTTGTTTCTTAAATTCCACATATGAGATCAAATGATAATTGTCTTTCTCTGACTGACTTATTTCGCTTAGACTAATACCCTTTAGTTCATCCACATCGTTGCAAATGGCAAGATTTCAATTTTTCTGATGGTTGAGTAGTATTCCATTGTGTATATATACCACATCTTTATCCATTCATCTGTCAATGGACATCTGGGCTCTTTCCATAATTTGGTTATTGTGGACATTGCTGCTATAAACACTGGAGTGCAGGTGCCCCTTCAGATCACTACATTTGTATCTTTGGGCTAAATACCTCATAGTGCAATTGCTGGGTCGTAGGATAACTCTGTTTTCAACTATTTGAGAAACCTCCATATTGTTTTCCAGAGTGGGTGCACCAGCTTGCACTCCCACCAATAGTGTAAGAGGGTTCCCCTTTCTCCATATCCTTGCCAACATCTGTCATTTCCTGACTTGTTAATTTCAGCCATTATGACTGGTGTGAGGTGGTATCTCATTGATGTTTTGATTTGTGAATACAGAATTCATGATTGACTTTCTTTTTTCTTTCAGCGCTTTGAATATGTCAAGTAGTGCCCTTCAGCCTCAATGGTTCCTGATGATGAATCAACTGTCAATCTTGCTGAGGACACTTTGTACATGACTCACCTCTCTCCTGATGCTTTCAATATTTTCTATCTCAGGACAATTTAATTATGATGTATCTAAGTTTGGATCCCTTGTACGTTGTTGAACTTCTTGGGTATACAGTCTTCTCATCAAAGAGTTTTTGGCCATTATTTCTTGAAATATTCTTACTACCCCTTTCTCTGTCCTTCTAAACTGCCAGAAATTGGGGTACTTTATTGTGTCCCACAGGTCTAAATGCTCTGTTCATTCTTATTCATTATTTTTTCTTTCTGTTCCTTAGAATGGATAATCTCAACTGATCTGTAGTCAAGTTCACTGATTCTGGCCTCTGCCTATTCAAATCTGTTGCTGAACTCTTCTAGTGAATTTCTCATGCATATATAAATTAATATTCTGTATTTGGTGAGACATTATTCTCATACTTTCCTTTAGTTCTTCAGATATGGTTGTCTTTGGACATATTTAAAATAGCTTAAGGACTTTAATAAATTCAAGGTCTGGCTCTCCTCAGCAATACTTACTACTGATTCCTTTTTTCACATATACAGGTCATATTTTTTTTTGCATGTTTCATAATTTTGTGTAGAACACCAGATATTTTAAATAATTTAACATGGCAACTCTCGAAATCAGATTCTCCCTTCTTCCCAGGATTTGCTGTTTCACATAATTGTTGCTACTGTTCAGGACTTTCCTGAACTAATTCTGTAAAGTCTGTTTGCTGACCAGACAAATCATTACTATTTCTCGTTCTACATCCCAGCCAGGCCAATATGTAGCTTCACTCACACTGCCTACTTATATAATTCCACTAAGAACACTGCATGGTTTCCTGATCACCATAATACGCAATTATAACAAATTTATTCTTGGGGCGCCTGGGTGGCTCAGTCGTTAAGCGTCTGCCTTCGGCTCAGGTCATGATCCCAGGGTCCTGGGATCGAGCCCCGCATCGGGCTCTCTGCTCTGCCAGGAGCCTGCTTCTCCCTCTCCCTCTCCCACTCCCCATGCTTGTGTTCCCTCTCTCTCTGTGTCTCTCTCTGTCAAATAAATAAATAAAATCTTTAAAAAAAAAAAAAAGCAAATTTATTCTTAAATAAATTGAATTTTTATTTAAAAGCCTTAAATGGCATTGTGTCCCTCAATCTTGAAGTCTATAAAAAAACAGTCAAATAGATTTTAATTTGATATTATTTGTGCTTGGATGGCTTGATGAAGAAAAAGAATGTCAGGGAAGTCCATAAGAAAATCCAGTATTTTTTAGTTTACTGTGAGGGTATTTATTAGCAATTTAGCTAAGAGACACTAAAATTTTTTCATAAAGATACTCTCAAAGGAAGTGAAGATATATTGTACATCTGTAGTCTACACCTTCTTTCTTCCCTAAAGTATTATCTTTGAACTCTTATTCTCATTCAAAATCTGAACTTGATTACCTTCTGCCTTCCATATATCCCACTTCTACTTAAATAATCTCTAATTCCTATAGTTCATTTTCATTTTGTCTTCATACTATTTATGGTCATTTTAAAAGTTCTGAATCTACTATTTATCCATTTTCAGTTACTCTGTTAGTTTTTATTTTACAATGCTACAATGTTCTAATTTTATGGCCCCCTTTATCCTAAATCCATACAGAAAGAGCAAAAATGCTAAATACTGGCACTGACAGTAATATACTGCCATACAATTATTTCCTGTAACGAATCTGCTCAGTGCCTCAAAATACAAATCAACTACAGTTTTTCTTTTTCTTGATAAAAAGTGAAATTTAAAAAGTTTATCCACTGAGACTTCTGGGTTGTTGGTAATATTCTACTTCTTAATCTAGGTGGTAGTTTCATGGTGTTTTCACTTTGTGATAATTAACTGAGCTATACATTTTGGGGGGCACACTTTTCTGTATGCATGTTATATCCCAAAATAAGAGTATTCAAAAAGTTTATTATATGGATGCTCTGTGCTGGCCAGAAAGAAAAAATTAGATTACAAAACAAGAAGAATCTAGAAATGATCAAAGTAGAAATGATACAGTACCATTTTGTTGATCATTAATAATATTGTGTATCTTTGTACCAATTGATGATAATAAACACACAAACAGCTTTCACAAATAATATTTTAAATGCCAAAGGAACACAAAAACAATGTGAATGATCTTTACAGAAAGCAGTATTTTCAATAGTAAATACAAGAAAAGTTTCTTCTCAGAGTCAGTTACATCTTAGCAGGATACTTATCAATTTTTAAAATTTTCAAAATTGGTAAATCCATTGTAATAAGTAATAATGTATCTTAAATTAAAAGAAAAAACTTTTCCTTAAAGCTTTTTACAGAGAGCCTCTTAGAAATAATTTTGTAAAAGGTAAAGCAGGTTTAAGATATTCCTTTTATTTTCCAAAAAACTGTATTTCTCCCTATCTACAAAGGCCAGTTTGTACATATTATAATCTGAAAAACAGAAGCTAAGTTCAATTAGCTTTTCCCTCTCATTTTAGAAATACAATCTCCCAAATACATGTATTCATTTGAAATATGTAAAAGCTGAACTTAAAAGTTTTACTGCTAGTGCACATGCCGAAACGCCATATAAGTAAATCTGGGAGTCCTGAAAGTACAGATGTGTCCTAGCGTACTTCTACTGAAGCTTCTCTAGGCAGAACACTTTATTTTAAATGGCTACATATATATTAGTAAATCCTCACTATGCAGCAATGGTCTATCTAAGGCCAGAGCTACAGGAAGCAACAGTGTGGTTTCCATCAGGTAACAAGTGCTTATGAAGATAAGATGCCTTCCCACAGATTGTGAACTACGGTATTTCATGATTTAAGGGGAAGAGACACAAAAAAAGTATTCTGCTCCATTTGTTTCTAAATTTCAAAGTAAAATCCAATGAACTGAATTAAGGGTAGGAAGAAAAAATTAACATTCACAAACAGATACATGTATTATTACCTGGCTTTACCCCACAATTTTGAATTTTGAAGAAAAACTGCTAATAGTCACAAAATCAGTCAAGAGAAGAAATGACACTTGACTGATTACTGAAGTCAGGTTATCTCCACTAGACTGCCGTACCTCCCATCCCAATTTTTCTATCTCCTGATTTATGCTTCCACATTAATTATGTTTCATCTGCATAAAAACTATTGCATAAGAAGAAAATAAAGAAAGGTATCAATGTTTAATTCTATAAGTAAATGGTAAAGTATCATTTTGTTTAAAAATTTTACCAATGTCTTACTGTCTATTAAATATCAGGTGCTTTACATACATTACTCCTCTCATTATTTATTAATAAAAATGTACCAACACATATATATACACAAACACCATATATTCATTTAACTCAATCATATAAAGTACACTGGAACTAATCAGATCTGAAAATGATGTTAGGATATGGTAAGAAAACAGAAGAGAACAAAATTATGTCTCTACTCCTTAAGAGAGGTAAAAAACTAAAAGATGAAGTATGGTAGAATACTAATATCTACTGCTTACCAGTTTTTCTCTGAATGTGTCTTTTCCCAGCTTCCCTGAAAGCAACCATGGCTCTGAAAAAAGCTCTGAGAACTGCCCATCGGAAAACAGCTACGGGATCAATTCCAATCATCCCAGAGATAAATGCATTCTTGCTACTTCTTAGAAGAGCTACAATGTCAGGGCGCATGTGATCTGTATTTTTTTCCCGGAAATCCTACATGAAAAAAGTACCAGTGTTATTTTTGAAAAAATTATTGAACCAAGAAGATAATGGGTGACATGTTTGAAAAGTGGCTTAACAAGGACTATAGAAGTGATTTCTGTTCTAGGTAGCTAACTGGACCAGATACCTTTTATAAAGTCCCAGCCAACCCTAAAACTATTGAATTCTGTAATACATTTAAATGGCAGTGAATATTCCACAATTTTATTGCAACTTGTTAAACAGAGAGCCTCTCTGAAGGGGTATCACATAAAATGACCAGACATGAGAAGACAAGGAACAGCGTTCCAAACAAAGAGAACACAACACCTACTACCTATAGGTGGTAGGACAAGTTAGGAGACAAGCAGTAAGACCAGGGGCTGGAACATTCTGGGCAAGGGTGAGAGTGGTAGAAGATTTGGCAAATAAATAGGCTATGCAAGCCTGAGTTAGGAGTTTGTAGATTTTATTCAAGTACAAAGGAAAGCCAATGGAAGCTAAATGATGTTTTATAAATACCATGGATGCCACAGAGGGAATGAATTTATTGAAAGAATGGAAAAAGGGAGACTAACTATTGCAATATTCCAAATAAAAGGTGAAGGTGACCTAGATTACATTGGTGGTAACAGCATAAAGGGAAAATAATTATTGTATTTGGGATACGTTTTGGAAGTAAGGCAAAGAATTTGCTGGTGTATTAGAGCATGGTGAGAAAATGAGGGAATAAGGTTAACACCTATATTTTGGGTTTAAGGAACTAGGTAGAGGTGCCATATTGATATAGAGAAGTCTAGAGAAAAGAGAAGGTTTACGGATAGGAAATGAGATCAAGAGATCAGTTTTGTGCAAGTGAAGTCTGAGATGGTGAGGATATCGACAGTAGCAAGCAACATTTATTGAAAGGTTAATATGCGTGTGGCACTCTTCTAAGCATTTTACATGTGTTACCTCATTTAAACTCATTTCAACCACCTAATAATTGCTTGAGACAGATAATATTATCATTATTCCTATTTTACACTTGAAGAAACTCAGTCACAGAGAGATTAACTATCTTGGCCCCTATCACACAGTAAGTAGAACAGGGGTTCAAAGACAGCCACTCATTACCACTATACTATATCTGCATATAGACATCAAGTAGGCAGATGAATATATATGCCTATGAGTCCTACAGAGACTTCAGAAAATATATGTATTACCTAAGGACTATAAATAGGCAGTACAAACCACCTGCCAATGGGGGATGGAGGGCATATAACTGAAGAAAATGGGTTAAAATATCCCACAGAACGAGAAGGAGAACAAAAAGTTTACATGGAAGAAGGTTCCAGACTGGTATGTATAGTCTTGGCATTAGGCTGTAACCAAACCCAGATAAAAGGATTAAAACTTGGTAAGTAAATCACTCAGAGTTGGTGCAACTTCACAGAACAGCTCTAACTCAGAATTCTATGAGGAGCATGCCTAGTATGATGTTTTCCAGAAGGCAGTTTGGAGTCCTTTAGGGGTTTCCTTTCCTACTCTTTGTTCTCCTAAGAACAGGGGAAAAGGAGAAACAAGCCAGAAATCTTGGTCCTTGGCTTGTCCCTAAACATCCTTTGAGCAAAAGTATGTATTATAAAAGTTAATAAAACTGATTAAAAATTTTCAAATCCAAATCACCACCACCACCATCAGCAGCTAATACCTACCAAGGGCAAACAAGATGTCAGGCACGAAGTTAAGCACTATACATAACTTATTCAATTCTAACAATTACTTAATAAAGCAGAGTAATTACAAACCATACTTTAGATAAGTAAACAGAAAGATAAAGAAGCTTGACAAAGGGCAAACATAATAAGTACTACAGGAACTGAAACGTGTCTGTTCTACACTGAAGACCAGCGCATCCTATTAACAACTATACTGTACAAAGTAAAATTCTAGAATTCTTTCCCATGATGAGTGTCAAATGTTGATGGAAACCTTTATTTTCCAAATGTAATGATCTCATCTGTCTTCATAGTTCCGTATTTCTAAGTACATTTCATAAACTAATCCTATCATTCTTATTGAAAATTTTCTCTTAGTTTCTATTAACAATACATTTTGTGATTTACTACTTATCCTATTGCTGGTTCCATATTTGAAATTCTTAGGGTTTGCTCTTACGTACTCTTACAATTTTCACTCAATCATCTAACATCAGGTGATCGCTACCATAGTAATGGCTTTAAACACTATCTATATGATGAGGCCCAATCTATATTTCCAGCTCAGACCTTTCTTGTTATGTCTGAGATCCATTTATACATCTTAAAGGTATCTCAAACTTGAAAGAGAATGTGTAAGACTAGTATTACTTAAATGTTTGGAAGCATTTGCCAGTGAAACCATATAGGTGTGGAATTTCCTCTGAGGGGAAATTTAAACTGCTGATTCAAATTATTTAACAGAAATAGGAGTCTCAGGTTTTCCTATATTTCTGGTGTCAGTTTTGATGTGTTTTTCATGGAATTCTCCATTTTATCTATGTTGTCAAATTTATTGGCAAATATGTTCAGACCCTTTTTAATATCTGCTGAGTATGTAGTTTTCTTTTCTGATATCTGTATTTTTAAAATCTTTTTTTCTATTATAGATTATTTTCTATTACCTTTTATTATCTTGTTATCTTTTCAAGGAACCAATTTTTGACTTTGTTAATTTCTCTATTGCATGTCTGCTTTCTACTGCATTAATTTCTAGTCTTCCTTTATTATTTCCCTCTAATTTGGGTGGGGGGGTTAATCTGCTGTTCTTGTTTCAGTTTCTTGAAATGGAAGCTTAGATAATTACTTTCAACGATTTTTCCTAATATATGCATTTAAAATTATAAATTATTGCTTTAAATGCATCCTACCAACTGCTACAGATTCTGCAAATTTTAATATGTTGTATTTTCATTAATGCTCAGTTTAAAATTAGCATTGTAGGGGCACCTAGGTGACTCAGTCGGTTAAGCGTCTGCCTTCGGCTCAGGTCATGATCCCAGCGTCCTGGGATCAAGCCCCTCGTTAGGCTCCCTGCCCAGTGGGGAGTCTGCTTCTCCCTCTCCTCCCTGCTGGTGCTCACTTTCGTTATCTCTGTCTCTCTCTCTCAAATAAATAAATAAAATCTTTAAATATAAAAAAATAAATAGTAAAATTAGCATTGTAATTGTGATTTCTTTTTTGACTCATGGGTTACATAGAAGAATTGTGTTTAAACACTTAAAGACTGTCTAGCTATCCTTATGATATGCCAAGTAGGTCAGTTTTTAATAATCCTATTCAATTTTTTAGTTTTTACTGATTTTGTGTCTTATTCTGTTGGTTACTAAGAGATATGTATTAAAAGCTACAACTAGATGGATTTTTCTAGTTCATTTTTGTCCTCCCTTTGGGCTTTATATATTGAATCAAATCATTAAGTACATACAACTTTTGATGATTGTGTCTTCCTATCAAACTGGCCCCTTTTATTGGTATGAAATGTGCCTCTTTATCTTTAGTAATACTTCTTGCCTTAAAGTCTACCTGTCTGATAATAATTTCTTTTAGTTAGGGTTTGGGGGGTATACATTTTTCCATCTTTTTACTTTCTATATACATTTTTTCTATATATAGATTTTTTCCATTAATTTACTTTCAACCTATCTAAGGATGATTAATCACAGGCACAAGTGTATACATTGTATGATTCCATTTACCTGAAATATTGTAATAACAAGTAAATCTATGGACAAAAAATGAGGATAGTGGTTATTACTAAGTGGGGGAGAATGAGCAGGGAAGGGGCATGACAGAAATCTGTACACTTTAGATTTATGCACCTAACTGTACGATTTTACAGCTCGTTTTCTTGTTTTTGTTTTAAACTGCATTTCAAAATCCTTTTTTTAAATTGAGATATAACTAACATATAATGTATAAGGTATACAATGTGTTGATTTGATACATTTATATACTGCAATATGACTACTACTATAGCATTAGCTAATACCTCCATCAGGTCATAGAACTATAATTTCTTTTCTGTGGTAAGAACATCTAAAATCTGGTCTCTTGGGGCGCCTGGGTGGCTCAGTCATTAAGCGTCTGCCTTTGACTCAGGTCATGATCCCAGGGGCCTGGGATCGAGCCCCACATTGGGCTCCCTGCTCCACGGGAAGCCTGCTTCTCCCTCTCCCACTCCTCTTGCTTGTGTTCCCTCTCTCGCTGTGTCGCTGTCATATAAATAAAATCTTTAAAAAAATAAAAAATAAAATCTGGTCTCTTAAGAACTTTGAAGACAATGCTATTATCACAATGTTAATTATAATCGTAATGCTGTGCATTAGATCTCCAGAACTTATTCATCTTCTAACTGCAAGTTGGTATCTTTTGCCCAATATCTCAATTCCCCCAGCCCCCAGCCCCTGAGTACCATGATTCCACTCTATTATTCTTAATGTTTGTTCTAAAATCTGTTCCTTTCTGTCTTTTCCATCTTGAAATAACACCTCAAATTCACCCATCAGCTAGAGCCAGAAGTCACTTACTTAGCTAGGATCCATCAATCAGGTTCTACCAATTATACCTCCAAAATATATCTCATAATCATCTACATTTCCTCCATCTCTACTGCCACCCCTATGGTTCAGTTTACCTTAACATTTCACCTCAAATATTAAAAAAAAGCTCCTAATTGATCTCCCAGCTTCCACTCTTCATCCTCTGCTGTTTCTTCTCCTCAAAGTAATCAAAGCAATCTTTTAAAAACACAAATCATAACCTGTTTAAAATCTTTTCATGGTTCCCCATAATCATTTCAATAAAAACCAAACTCATTTAACTTGGTCTAAAAGCCATGAAGAATTAAATTGCTATTCATTCTCTAAATTCGTTTCATTCACTATCTCCCTTGCTTACCATAATCTAGTAACACTGACCTGTTTTCAATTATTTTAACATACTAATTCTTTCCTATCTCATGGCCTGGAATATTCATCATCCCAACTCCTCACCAAGGTGACACTTGCTTCAGGTTAACTCTCAAAATTTAAGTTCTCAGAGAGATATTCATGGATCTCCAAATACAAAGTCCACTATTTCACTACTTTCTTTCCTAGAACCCATTCATTTATTTATAGCAATATCCCATTTATCCATATTATACACACATGCGTACGTGCTTGTATATACTGAGCCAAGAACATGTCTGCCTGGTTTATCACTAAATCATTCCAAACACCAAGCACAGAGTCTGACACATAGTCTGTATTTAACAGGTACTTCGTGAATAAGTCAATCATTTGCAAATGAATGAGTGATTTTAGTTGTGACTCTCACCTCAAGACCCAAGAGAAAATATATTGCTCCACTATTCTCCACACCATCACTGCCTTGCCTGGGAAATTATCTTAAATGACAGACTTAACACCAAGTGGTTGAAGGGTAACAGGCTCACTAATTACAAATAAGAAATGGCCACAATTATGAAGATTCCCCTCCACAGGAGTGAAAAGTTTCAATCTATTCACTGGAGTGCAAGCTCACAAATACCTAATGGTGCATAAAGACATGAAGCCTCTGTTAAGCTTCATGGGTGCAGAGAAGAGAAAAATTCAACAAACTACATAATGAAATACTAGGTTCAAGATATACTGATGCTATCTATTCTTCAGATTTAAAAAAAGTATTGGAAGGGACTGATACTGAGTTTATCTATAGGAGGAAACCAACAAAAATATCACATAAAACAGTAATATGTTGCAAGGTAGAATCTGAATGTTAGTAGTATCTTTATAAAATGTCTCCAACTGTTACTGATCAAGAGCCTCCATAAACTACAGAGAAGGCAGTGTGACAGGGATGATAATACATACAGTAAAGAAAACACTTTTACCCTGAAGGCATATTAATGGGAAATTTACTGACCTTTACCCCATATTTTACTTTCCCAGCATAATGCTTTATGATGAAAGCAGGCTCCATCACGGCTGGAAATTCAATGTAAGAATTCTCTTCATGTTGATGCTTAAATTTATCTAGCAATGTTTGATTTGTAGCCTGTGGAAAGCTGAATTAAAAACAAAAAACACACACACACACAAAAAAAAGATGCAGCTGTCAATACAGTCTTTTTTTTTTAATACATAATTACATTGCCATCTAATATACTTATAGCAAATTACAATGAGTTTTCACTTATATTATCTAATCTGATTCTCTTAACAAGCTAAAAAGTGAGTATAAGAAGGACTGGTGTTTTGGGGCGCCTGGGTGGCTCAGCCGTTAAGCGTCTGCCTTCGGCTCAGGTCATGATCTCAGGGTCCTGGGATCGAGCCCCGCATCGGGCTCCCTGCTCGGCAGGAGGCCTGCTTCTCCCTCTCCACTCCCCCTGCTTGTGTTCCCTCTCTCGCTGTATCTCTCTCTGTCAAATAAATAAAAAAAAAAAAAAAAAAAAAGAAGGACTGGTGTTTTATAGATAAGAGATCAAAAGTCACGATTTGCCCAAACTCACACTTTGCAAGTAGCAGAACTAAGAAATTAACTCAGGTCTTTAGATATTTAGCTCAGGTTGCATTGTGTGCCACTTCCGTAATACCCATAGGATAATAAAACTCAAATGATACATTGTTGGGGCCAAGAACTTCCAAATAGAAAATGATCTCTCAATTTGGACAGGTCTTAAGTCCATAGTCATCTTCTGTTTTCCTATTTCTTCATATACAAATTAAGTAGCAATTTTCTTACCTATACCAGTAACTACATAATTTTATACTATATCTATTATTATCTCAAATATGTCTCAATGGTTTATACTCATTGATGAACATTTCATATCTACTTATTAAGAAATAATTACATGATAGCAAATACAGGAATATCAAAGTTTAGGGGGCACCTGGGTGGCTCAGTTGGTTAAGCAGCTGCCTTCCACTCAGGTCATGATCCCAGGGGCCTGGCATCGAGCCCCTCATGAGGCTCCCTGCTCAGCGGGGAGCCTGCTTCTCCCTCTCCTCCCCACTCATGCTCTGCCACTATCTCTGTCTGTCTCTCTCTCAAATAAATAAAATCTTTAAAAATTAATTAATTAATTTCCAACTCTTGGTTTCAGCTTGGGTCATGATCTCGGGGTCCTGGGATTGAGCTCCATGTCAGCTCTGCTCTCAGCACCGTCTGCTTGTCCTTCTCCCTCTTCTCCTCTCTCACTCTCCCTCAATCTCTCTCAAATAATAAATAAAATATTTTTTTTTAAAAGTTCAGAAAAGAAAAAAATCACTAGTGGTTCGGAATAATGGGAAGATTCAAAGAAGATATACGAGGCAATTATGAGCTAAATGTTAAAGGTTGGATAGGAGTTTCATATAGAGGAAATATCACTGACAGAAAAAGGAGAAAGCAAGTATCTTTCAGAAAAGTTTCATTTAATCATAATTGAAATAATGAGAAATAATGTGACATGAGGTTGCAAAGATGCTGAATACAAAATCTAATGTGTAGAAATGATTCCAAAATTACAACAGAAATAGGTAATTTTGTTATATGTATTAGAATCAGGAAGGAGAATGGCTTTTGGTGTCAGACAGTAATAGTTTAGATTACCAGTTCTGTATGTGACCTACGGCAAGCTTTAAGAACTAGTTTCCATAAATGAGTACAGTGAGGTATCGCAATGTTAACAGAATTAAATAACACTGGTAAAAACATCTAACGCTAGCTGGCATCCTATAGGGAAGGCATAAATGTTATCTACTTTCTAACGTTGCCAACACTGCCATTTTCCTATTCATCTAGGCCTGCTTTTGCATTCAAATACTATCCCTTCCTCAAAACACCTTCACCATCCAGCTCTCCCTGTCCATTCCAGGACTCTAAAGCCATTCTAGAATGGACTATAACTCTTGCAATTTGAAACAGAGAGTACAGCGACAGCCTCTACAGTAGTCTCAGTACTCTAATCTTACGTTGTTTGAAGTCACCAAATCAAAATATCAAAATTTTCCTGTAATATTCCTTTAATCATGTGCCTCCCCTACTCAGTAAAATTTATGGATCAGCAAGGCAAAGAGACCAAATCCAAGGTCATAAGCCTAGACACAAACTCAACCTCTGCAAACTTATGCCTCACTACTTCACAGCAGGATGCTTTTGGATACTCATCTCATTGTCTCTAAGTAATCCTCTGAGTAATCAAAAAGCTTGTGATTTATTTTTCTCTTACTTTCAAATGGAGAAAATAAATTTTCAAAGGAAGACATATATGAGAACAGTTTTTATTCCAAACAAGGAAAGATGGAAAGAAAAGCTCTCCATATGAGAAAAACTATCCACACTTGTGGATACACACTGCAATATCAAGTAAAAGAGCTTGGAACAAAGGCAAATCAGACATTATTGTGCATTTCAAAGCTCTTCCATCTAGTGTTCCCCAAAGGCTATCTGCCAGGAAGCCTTAGATTAGTGTTTCCATGCTTCTTTCTGTGTTTCTTTAACTCTCAAAAATACCAATACCTAGACCCCATTCCTGTGATTTTACTGAAGTGATGCTAGGGTCATGATGACCAGTACTATTTCCAAGTACTCCAGGTAATTCTTATGAGCAGGCAAGAATGACAAAATGCTGTCCTAAATGAATGCTCTGATCTTAATTTCATTTGTTGAAAGAAGACTGGGGTGGAAGTCAAAGATTCTGCATTTCTAACAAGCGTCAAGGGGCTGCCAGTCCTGCTGTCAACAGATCATACTTTGAATACCAAAGGAAAGACTGGTAACACTCCTAACATCCTGCTCACACCTAACTTTGCTTATTCTACTCCTTCTTTCTAAATTTCATGCTGCATCCTTTACAGTCAAGCTTAAATAACTTGCCCGAGGTCAAACAGCCAAGAGATAACAGAGAAAAGATTAAACAAGACTTCTGACCCATGCATCTAAACCACTATAAACAACACTGAATGAGGTAGGAACACCGCTAAGGATATATTTCATGTTATATATTCCCTATAGAACAAAACAGTTTTTAGAGGAAAACTACTCAAAGTAGTTCCCCAAACAGCCTTCCTAAATGTGTCTAACTTATTTTCAATCCAACTCTGGCAGAGAGAAAACATTTCATGCCGTTGCATCTTCTGGGATGTTAAAGCACAGAGCAAAGTGGTCCATTTACAAGAGGAGGTAAAAACAACAGGACTGATACATAAAGTGAAGAAAATAATAATAGAATTTATAAAAAGTTTTTATGGAGGACTGAATATAGAAGCGTAATTGAAGGGACAATTAAGAAGTTATTCAGTCCAGGGTTACCTGGGTGTCTCAGTCAGTTAAGCATCTGCCTTCAGCTCAGGTCATGATCCCAGGGTCCTGGGATAGAGCCCCAAGTGGGGCTCCCTGCTCAGCAGGAAGTCTGCTTCTCCCTCTCCCTCTGCCCCTCCCCACCACTCATGCTTGCTCTCTCTCTCTCAAATAAATAAAATTAAAAAAAAAAAAAAGAGGTTATTCACTCTAGTCTCCTACCAACAACAATACCCTGACAGATGATGCAAAAGAATTACTATAATGGAAAATTTTATTACTTTATAAAGCAGCTGCTAATCAGCTCTAATGATAAGAAAGTTCTTTCTTACACTGAGCCAGAATCTGTCTCTGTGTAATTTCCGGCCACATGGCTTACCCCCAGGAACTTCTGGGTAATGGCAGAGTTAATATTCTCTTATTGGGCAATATTTATATCTATATGAGGTAGCAAGTGACCAGGGAAATATAGTCTTTGTATAATAAGATGTGAACTAAAAATATTTTACGTAAGGAATGACAGGCCAAACAAAAACCCTTTCCTCTACTCATGTTTTAATTACATACTCGGCTATCTCAATTGCTGCTCACAACCACCTTAAGATATATAGCAGACAGCACTATCATTTCTCATCATTTCCTTTTTACATGCAAAAAACTAAGAACGAAGAATATTCAGAGATTTGCCAAAGGTAGCTAATAGAGATGGAATGCAACCCTGAACTTCTGACTCTATAGCCTATTATGGAGAAACATTATAGGACAATACTTCAATGCACAAGCTAATTAGTCAGAAATGCCTGGAGTGTCTTCAAGTCCATCACTTACTATCTATATGATCTTCTTCTAGACTTCCTTAAACCGTGTTCTTTTTGTTATCATAAAATACCTCAAACAAATAAAATTGCTTAATATTTTGACATCAACCATAATAGTTCTCAACACTGAATATCAAAATCACCTATGAAGCTTTCCAAAATAAAATACACCAGAGGTAAGGTATGTGAGCAGTTAAGAACCACTAACCTTACGATTTTATAAAAGATAATATATGTTGTAGGGCATATAGAGCAATGCAAAAAAAACTTTTACACAACTTTGTACATAAAATATTTTTGTATTAATTGCATTTTAATTCATTTAGATTAATGGAAATAGTCTATATGTTTATGGCATATTAATAGGGTGACATACAACTTACCATACAAACCAGGATATTTGGGAGTTAAAGCAGGCACCTTTAATAACTAAACTGGACAACAGGCATAAACTTTAGATTGTCCCATTCAAACCAGATGATGTATGGTCATCCCACCTATGATAGTTAATCCCCAATATTTTATATCTTACTTCAGTGGGTATAATGGTTATAGCTAGAAATCAAGTGACCTAATTTAGTTACTTAATATTTTAGTGAAGAGTGACAGAAAACTCACATACTCTCCATCACTTCAGTTTCTCCAGTTCTAGATTTGCCATCTTATAGGATAACTATAAATAATACTTTACAGAGTACTAAAAACACTCTGGAGGATGCTATATGAAGTTTTATTTCTGAAGCTTATTCAGCTTATGTTTGGTATACTACACAAGGATGTCAAATACTTGGCATATATTGCTACTTTCCACCTGCACAGCTGTGGCAGACATCACTAATCTATCATGATATTCTTTTCTACTGAACATGAAAACTACAAACACATCTCATATAAAACTCAATTCAAGAAGAGAGGAATATGCAACAATAAAAAAATATGCCAACAAATTTACCATCAAAGTAACTCTGTAGAAAAATCTGGAAAAACTCAAGGAAAAAATGCATTCAATATTATAGTTTACCCAATTTTCCTAGAAACATACACAATAAAATGCACACAAGGGAAACTTTGGCTCCTTATTGATTATGTAAGAAGAAAATTTAAGACTTAAAAAGACATGAAAAGCCCAAATGAAAAGAATCATACTTTTGATTGAAAAGTACTTGCTGAAAGAATCATACTCACTTGCTTTCTTCATCCAAAAGATGGAGCAGTCCTGTTGGTTTCTTGCTAATAAGATTTATGCAACAGGTATTATCAATATAATCTATATTGTGCCAGCTGATACCTTCAGTTCTATACTCCTCCTAGGAAATAAATTCACAATTTATTCATCTTGCAGAAAATAACAGGTATATGATAATAAAGACTGAAAAGCTTTTGCCAGGCTTAAAAGAACTAAACTTTTCCCTTTTAAATCACTAAATCTACACAATGGAAGAATGTATAATTTTGGTTATGTAAAACCTTCATACAGTATATGTCTATTTTCATTAAAAAGTACATACAATCAAATTTTTTTGTTAAATTGCTATGTGTATGCCACTCAGGTGAAAATTTAGGGCTGGATTTGTTTTAGCCGCACTATGTAAGGACTGCACTAAAGAAAAATATAAAATAGGGGCGCCTGGGTGGCTCAGTTGGTTAAGCGACTGCCTTCGGCTCAGGTCATGATCCCGGAGTCCTGGGATCGAGTCCTGCATCGGGCCCCTGCTCAGCGGGGAGTCTGCTTCTCCCTCT